AGAGCCATTTTTAGAGCTTATCTTCCACAACCGTCCAGGATTTTAAGGACCTGTCAAACTCTGTAGAACACGAGGAAAAAAAAGTAAAGAAAAGAAAACAGCATCAAGCAACTACTTGCAATTCAGATATGAAAACATTTACATTGTAAACAAGCCTCCCATGCTGCTGAGATTCCTTGCTCAATGACAATAAATAAACTGAGCCTCTAGGGCACTTTATCTAGGTCATATGGTTGGGGTTAGAAGATAAAACATGCTGATTGGTTATATACATTCCTCAATGCACATGTAATTTTCCAGCACACTAAGACACACATATCCCTTCAAAATGTTTATTTGTTCTGTTGGAGGGCAAAGGGTGTGACAGCTAAGTGAATAACATTAGCTAGACAATCTTGTCCGTTTTTCTCAAAAAATATGTAAATGCTAAGTACGTGTTAATTTCAATAATAATTAAGTGCATTAGTTTTAATTATAATTCAGATAAAGATGTTTAAAAAAATTGTTAATAAGGTCTTTCAAAGATAATGTGCAGTCTATAAAACAAGTTTAACTGAAAAGTGAAAACCAATAATGATGTAAAGAAATTTTGCATCGAAGCTAAGAGCACGGAAGGAATATACATATATTAAAACTGTCTGTTGAGAATTTTTTTGTTCTGATACAAACAAGTTAATGGTTTAAATGTATATTTCACCCCAGGATGTTTTCTTAGTTTACACACATACGCAGATGTTAAGATAGGTATTTCTATTTTCCAAAATTCACAATTTTAACAATCAACAGTAATCTTAATAGGACATTATCACAGAAATATTTATTTCAATGATATCCACAATTAATCTTTCCACAGCTTGACGTTCATTATGCTAAGAAGACAGTTCGGAAATGTTACACCACATTTGTGTAAAACTCCAGCAGCTCGAGATCTTTCAGTACCCAATTCTGTCTGATTAAGCAATCTAGTATTTTCCCAGTGACGATTCTTGACACCAAATGCACCCCCAAGCTTCAAGTTTATTTTTTTAACCCAAATGAACATGGAAAAAAAAAAAACAGGGTTTACAGAGACAAGCAACAACTTACAAATTACAGTTTTACGGCTAAAAACGTATCTTTACATACCATTATCAGCAGTCAGACATAAAACAACAGGAATACATTTCTCAAAGTCAAAAAGGCAAAAAAATGGGTAGAAATCCCTTTCTGACACAGTTCAAATCACATGCACAACAGCTGTCTAATTAGAAATCGATGAATAATTCCTCTCATACAGGAATCAAAATCCTCATGTTTAACAGCTTTAAAAAAAAACTAAAAGATGAGAATTTCACTTAGTTCTCAATATTCTTCTTAAAACTATATGGCAATATTTGAAACTACCAAATAAAACACTTCATCAGGATATTGTTCCAAAAACTGATAATCGACATGCAAGTAATTCTGGAGAACAACATTCTGGTTGTTTTTTTTCAGTCCTCACTAGTAACTTGTTACTACAGTTATTCTTAGAAGCTAGGTTTATTAGTTTAGATAAAAATGCGTATGATATATTATGTACAAGTTTAAGTACCAATATTTTTTACAATAAATCATAAAAGTTTTTCAATCAAAATTATACAGAATAGTAGTTATTAATACATCATGAAAACATATTTGATATAGTTTAAGAAATTTATAAACACAATTCTGTTTTGCAACTTTCTTGACACATACAAACCAAGTTCCTCATTAAAAAATATATACGAGACAAATTATTGTACAAAAAATATATATTGATTATAATTGAAGTACAGTGGTTTCCAAAAAAAGAAAAAAAAATCAAAAGTGTTAAAAACATTAAGAAGTCTAAAGTCAAATATGAAATATGTTTATAAAATCCCTTTACTTAGTTAAGCTGAAAAATTATGCCTGTTGCAGCACAAGTAACATGAAACCTTACGTAGCATGGTTTTAAGTAACGAAGGACGATTGATCAACATTTTCATGTCAAATTCACCAACCAACCTCAATGTAATTTTGCTTTTTTTATCTATCTGAGTAACAAGTATAATATTTAGCATTTATCTTTCATACTTTTTAACTCACTTTTCTAGCCTGATTGAAAATGAAAAATTTAAGAAATAAAATTTAATGTTAATTAGATATGTTATGAATACTCCAAATAAATAAATACTGTGGAAGTAATTCAAGGTTGTTAGAACTACAGAATATTTTTGAAATGTACATAAACTATACATTGCAATAAATTCAGGTGATTATTGGTACTGGTGCATAGTTGTGCACCCTTTAAATAAACATGTATATTTTACGTGAAGTTAGGTTTTAGTGAGTACAATTCCAAAACATCATTATTTAATTGCAATCTTTTAGTTTATTTCATCGATAAGTGGTTGCAGTGGTCAAAACACGATTTGTAACCTGGAAATTGTCGGAAGTAAAAATTCTACGGCATCTAGAATATTAATACAACCTATACATGATATATCCTTCATCAGCCTCTAAATGCAATTTAGTACAAGCATACACGTAGCAAAGAAGATTACTTGGACAGTTTTGTCAAAGTATTTAAGATTAAATATGAGCGTTATTGCCTAATAATTTTCTACATTGTATAAACAACATTATATTTTGCAGCCACTCATTGAAGCACTCAGTGTTAAGTCATTTGGAAAAAATTGAACCATTTTGATTCTTCTATAAACTGTAGTAAAGTTCCGGTCGCCACTGCATCAAAGCGTGTGACAAGTCATTCCACAAGCCAATCACTCTTTTATAAAAATAGTACTGTCTTATCTGGAGCCTTCCTTGTCTCCCAATTCTCAAATTTGGGTTCTCCCATCTTATTGTCTTCAGAATATAGCACAAAGTACCGTAGGTCTGTATTCTATTGATCCCTTGAATAATCTTGTATTCTTCAATAAAATCACCTCTTAATCTTCTTTTCCAACAAAAAATAATGTTAACCTATCTACACAAGATAACCCTTACATTTTCAGAATCATCCTAGTAATGTAATCCTATTCTGGATACTTTTTAATAAATCAATATCCTTTATTAGATAAAGAAACAAGCAAAGAAAATATAATATTTATTATAAACTAATACTGATATATTTTCTCTTGAGAAGAGAAGGGTGACAAACAGGTCATATTACTGAAGAGAGGATTAACTGAGATTGAAGGAGACTGATAACATAGAGGCTTCTGACTTCTTTGTGCTGAAACCTGAAAACATTGATTTGTTTGTAATTAAGCACAAAGCTACACAATGAGCTGTCTGTGTTCTACCCACCATGGGTATCGAACCCTGGATTTTAGCATTGTAAGTTCACAGATGTACCACTGTGCCACTGGAGGGGGGGGAGGTGAAAACACAAGGACTAAATAACACAAGTTTAAGGTTTGGAAGACAAACACGGCTTCAATTAAAAAGAGTTTTATTTTTTCACACGATGATTATAATATGGTCATTAGTTGACATCACCAGTTATGTAGTTTCACTCGTTACAACAATTTAAGAGTTATTCACTCAGTTATCTATTTATCTTCGGATATCTTTTAAATTATTATCGCTACAATACTGCATGTCTTAAAAACTATATTAATAATTTCTTATTTGTGAAAATAACAGAAAAATATTGTAAAAACTGAAATATAAACAAATTTATTATTATTATTTGAATACTGTGGGATGGATAAACTAATGTAAAACTGGACTTACATGGATTTTTGTTTAGGACCTTGATGGGCTGAATAGCCTACTGCCATCTTGCTTGTTCTTATATTATCATAATGAAATAATACTATATTACCTGTTTGTGTATAATAGTAATGCCACCTACAAATTGTTATGAAGTTTCCAGAAATTGGCCACATTCTATTGAATATTTCTCACTGGCTTGTGAAAATTAAGTAATCTAATTATATTGATATATTTATATAATATGAATAATTAAGTACTAAAGAATTGAAACAACCATTCACACATAAAACTGAGGTAGGATTTATGATTATTATTTTGTATTTTAATTACATTTTAAACACAATATCTTTAAAAAAACTGCAATTGGATTAGCAGAGTATTCCAAATGCCAGATTATGCCAGAACAAATGAACTGAAACACCAAATTTTAGGTTAAACAAAGGTCTGTGTTAAAGATAATGAAAAAAGGAAGAGGTAAGGAAACTTCACAATGTTAGTTGTTAACAAATCTAGCAGAAATAATCACCAATGAAGTGGTTTTAGTATTAGAAAGGTATTTTATGCTCCCATATTTTGATAAAGTTTAGTTGTTCATGCTCATATTATCCAAATGATTTTGTTTTATGGTTATACATATGTTTTACCTGTGATAAACAGTTTTAAGAATTTTGGTGAACATAATTTGTTGAAAGTAATAAGTTTTTATGACTTTTCTGGGAAGAATTTTTGCCAAAAGTTCAACATTTTGTATTCCTTACCATGACTATGTTCCTATGACTTGAAGAAAGCATGAAAAAGATGAAACTACTTTCAAAAACTTATAAATATCACAAACTTGTGAAAAAACAAACTTTATCATCATAAAACACAACGTACTGTCAAATTCTGAAAAGTGTGTCTTAGAAACCGCCTAGCGACGATGCAGGAAATAAATTCACAACTTTAAGTGAAAATTCAAAAGCATGGATAAGCCCAAGAGCTTTCGAAGCCATTTAATTCTGAAATAATAAGTGTTAAACTGTATTAAACAGCGAGCATATTAATTTTTGTAGGAGTTTGGTACTGGGGAGTTGTCGTACATGGTACAGCACTCTGTTTTATCTGTATTATTATCAATATTACATACGAAACAGCGGAACCTTTTCCATTTACACTATTACTATCACATATAAAAATTAAAACTGTCATACATTTAGTAATTCAGCTTTCTACTTTACTTATTAATTTAACAAAACCTTCAGTAAAACAAGTGAAATACAAAGATTTAATAAGAAAAATATCAAAATTAAACTTACCAATTTTCAAAGGATGTATATAGTTTTACTTAACTTCGTCGCGTCTTAAGTCAAACTCAAAATACTCACTACACATTCCTTGCCTTATTTCCACACGACTAATATTTAATTTTTTGGATGGAATGTAAAAATTACAGTAGTAGTCGACTATACCTAGCGCATACACAGGTTACTTAATAATTTAATTGCTCGGTCTTCAATATTTTACTTTCATTACCTTATCTTTTTTTTATTAACAAACCGTAACACAATGTTTACTTCATTACTAAAGGCAAAGACTCAAATAAGTGAAATTGTAATAAATATTTTCTGAGAATTTAATATTTTATCACAAAAATCTTGGACACGTTCATCATGGACCACCACATTTTCTCAACTTCTTAGTACACTGCTGGATACGCACAAACAACATACACGCGTTCACTCATCAAAACTCATCAAGTTCAATGATAAGTTTCTTTACTATTCTCTATTTGGGAAGAGAAGAGTGCAACGCCATCTCTTATTAATAAATAAATTGGAGAGATTATTTCGGACAACTTATTTTTAGTGCTATTTTCAATCTCACAATGTGAATGACAGTGGGTGCGAGTATTTTTTTTATCAGATTCATTTGAAATTAGCTCTGTGTGGTAGATTGTAGCTTCAGTCTTCAAGTGTTAAAAATTATTTAATATTATTTACTAAAAGACAAAACAGTTATTTTTAATTAATATTGCCTACTAACCTATATATTTGATGATGGGGAACCCACTTTTAAGAAAATAAAGTTTGGAGACGACTTTTTTTTCATAACTTAAATTTCATAAAATTTTAAAGGGACAAAAAGGAGCTGATTAGCCCATCAAGGATGTCCCTTCCAGCTCCCAACTATAACCACCCCTTGCAACTCGTATTCATTCAATCTTTTTTCAGTTAAATTTTCTGCCTCCACTATCCGTGAAGGCAGCTCATTCCAAAAGCCAACCACCCTGTTTGAAAAGTAATATGTCTAAACTGCAGATAGCTCCTAAACTGCCAAAATTTGAATTTAACATAATAACATAACATAATGTTTTGGAGCAACGTGGGAGCTATTGGTCCATGTCGGCGCTCCATCCTCTAAATTGAACATAATAATTTTAAAAAAATCTTAAAGCCAGCCCTTATCATTCATATATTTATCACGGTTTTTCTTAAACTCGCTTAAAGTTACTGCCTCTGCAACATCCGAAGGCAACACATTCAAATTCCAACTACCCTGTTAGAAAAATGAAACTCTATTAGCTGAAGATGACTCCTGCCTTGCCCAAATTAATATTTGTGCCCCTAGTCCTATTATTCTCACTGTTAAACATGAAAAAGATGATGCATCAACACTATCAATTCCCTGTACAATCTTAAACACCCCAATCAAATCCCCCTCAACTCTTCTTTTTTCAAGAGAAAACGGTTTGAGAGATTTCAGCCTCTCCTCGTATGACAACCCAGGCATCATTCTAATAACCCTTCTAGTAACCCTTTCTAACAATTCAATGTCTTTTTTAGGGTAAGGAGCCCAAGACTGAACACAATATTCCAACTGTTGATCTAGCCTGTGACCTGTACAATGAAATTATAACTTCTTTATAATTGTATTCAGTATTTCTGTAAATACAACCTAAAATCCTATTTTCCCTACCACTAGCAACAGCACACACTGCTTGGATGGACGATCCCTTTCCTTCATAATAATGTTAAGGTTATTTTTATCAAAATTATACTTATAATCCAAATTATGCATTATCTTTCACTTATTATAATTAAAATCCATCTGCCATTTATTTGCCCAACTCACTAAATGATCTAAATCCTTTTGTAAATCAGCAGCATCCTCTTCACAGCTAGCAACATCCAAGTCCTTAATATCATCTGCAAATTTAAGTAATTTATTGACTATTCCTTCTATGTCACTGATGTAAATCAAAAGAGCAAAAGTCCTAAGACTGAGTCCTGATATCACTTGTGATATTAATCCAGTTTGACTGAATTCCATTTGTAACATCCCTCTGCTTTCTTCCATCCAGACACTCTTCTATCCAGTATGCTAACTTATCCTTAACAGACTTTCCAAATCTTTTCTCACAACTGATATAAGACTAATGGGTCTATAATTACTGGAACAATTTTTATCACCTCCCTTAAAAAGAGGAGTTACATTAGCTAACTTCCAATCATTTGGTATCTGCCCACTATTCAAGGACTGACAAAAAATAGTAGTAAGTGACTCACATATCCTAACTTTAACATCCTTCAAAACACTAGGAGAAATATTATCTGGCTCAGGAGCCTTATCAATTATTAAATTTTCCAATGTTTTCTTAACCAGCTCAGAACTAATGCAATCATCTTGTTTGATCTTGTTTGTTCAAGATGTGGAATACTGCTTAAATCTTTATGACCCCTTGTCCTATTGTTTTCACTGCTAAACACAAAAACGTCTTTTAGTCTCAAAACTACGTGTTGTGGTTTTTGTGTATTGTGTCTGGATCATCTCACTTCAATGACCAGCACTAATCAGCCATCATGTTGATGTTCCTCTCCATTTCCCTGATGTTTTGATGAAATCTTTCCTCTTGTCATTCGTTGAAGGCAAATATTTTCAGGGAAATAGTCAATATGTTAGTGTAAGAAATAAACGTTGAAGCTCATCTTACAGCCCAAATCTTTGAATTTATCAAGCATGTTATTGACAATGTTTTCGTAATTTGGGTACTTGTTGTTTCCTAAAAATTTGTCAATAACATCTTTAAAGACAATCCACGCTTCTTTTTCAGTTTTCTTCATTGTCCTTTTGAGCTGTTCATCCAAAAACAAGTGCATAATCTGAGGCACAACAAAAATTATTTTGTTAAATTTCGCTTCTGAAAGAGCTTAAAATTGCCCACATAGATACTTGAAACAGTGGACACCTTTGTCTAAGTCATTCACAAACTGTTTCATCAAGCCCAGTTTTATTGAACTTTCACGTTCAATGTTTTTTTTATCCTGGTATCAGACTGACTCTGCGTGGCCATTGCTTCTATACGTAGTGCTGACTTCGTGCTCTGCTGTCCCATTCACACAAAAAACATGGAAATTGTGTATAACCGAATTGTTGACCCAACAACATACAAAGGACTCCATAAAGTAGCCAACCATGTTCTTTGCACTTGACCTTATTAAAAAGAAGTTTGAAATTTTCGTACGTTTCTTTCAAGCAAACCGAATGAGCAGTAGGAACAGATGCATATATGTTACCATTGTCTAGGAGAACACGTTTTAGACATATTTTGGATGAATCAATGAACAATCGCCACTCATCTGATTCATAGACTTCAGCTCCTAGGTGGTATTAATTAAGCAATATAGACTGCAGCTCCTAGTAGTGGTATTAATTAAGCAATATTGTTGTAATAAACCAGGGAACCTCTTGCGAAAAGTATGGTATAAACTACAGTATTTCTCACGATTTCTGAAAAATCTTTGGAAGGCCCGAATCTCTCAACAAATCCAGAAATGACACGTCATGCGGCCTGTTAACCGTTTATATACAAGCGGTGTGTTTCTCGTGGGTTCTAGAACGATTGATAAGACACTCACGTCGCGAGTGGACTGGATAAATCTATAGCCAGTTGTTGTCAAAATTTTAAATATAACACAATGTGGCCCAATTTCAATGAAAATGATTCACTTATGTAAAGGATACTACTCACTTTCTTAACATCACAGATAATATTAATACTAACGAACAGTTACCATCCAACAGTCTTCTTTGCACGATGGATGTTTCTTTCCTTTACTCCAATATTCCACACGATGAAGGACTACAACTTTGAAGTCCGCATTAGACCATTCTAACCAATTAGAATCTCAAACAGTAACTGATCTTGTCAGCCTGGTTTTAACTCTGAACAACTTCGAATTCAATAACGAGCATTACATTAAGGTTATCGGTACTGTGATGGGTACCAAAATGGCTCCCAGTTATGCCAACATTTTCATGGGTCATATTGAAAACCAGCTTTTACAACTAAGTCCTGTAAAACCTCGTACATGGAAACGTTACACAGACGACATATTTTTCATTTGGACAGTCAGGCTTAAATCACTTAAAGAATTTATCTCATATACAAACTCCTTTCACAAAACAATCAAGTTGGCCCGTGATTACTCGTCTACTCAGATTAACTTTCTTGACGTCACTGTTTTCTAAAAGACGGAATTTTACACTCTGACTTGTACAAAAAACCTACAGATAGACCACAATACATTCACTATAAAAGCTGTCACCCCCTCTCACACTAAATGAAACATTACCTACAGTCAAGTTCTTAGCATAAAGAAAATATGCTCCGATGAAATAGACTATAGAAAACACACCAAGGATCTAAAACAAACCATGTTACAAAGAGGATATAAAGATACCGAAATCAGCGGAAAAAAAACATTCTAAATCAGAGCAATACTAAACTTTCAATATTTGTTACCTATCAGTTTAAACTCAGAAACGTTTCACGAATTCTGAAAAAAACATTTTTATCTCCTACAACTGAACGATCACCTTAAACAGATATTTTCTGAAGCTCCCGTTGTCTTCTTCCGAAAAAGCAGAACTCTATAAAAGTTTGTCGTCCATGTAATATTGCCCGTTGTCAAACCTGTAAGTTCATAAAAACAACCGACTCATTTTCTGACAAGCACAATCGAAGAAACTTTAAAATATCCATAGAAATCACTTGTGAAACAAAAACACCATTTACTTTATACAGTGTAAAAAATGTAATTATCAATATATAGGACATACACAAACAACTCTTAGAGAACGTTTTAACAACCATAAGTCTTCTATTAACACCGAAAATGATCTCGCTGTTGCTCAACACTTTAACCAACCCGGTCATTCCATTAACG